CGCAATTCTTTTAGTCAGTAACTCTTTCGATCGCGAGTTAGTGGGAACAGTGAGGCTATTGATCCAGCCCTCGATCCGGCTTAGGAGATCTTGGAGCCTAGAGGGGGGCGGGGAGTCATCTTTCTTTTCTTCTTCTAGTGATCCTTCGCCAATACACCCTTCACACCAGTCACCCCCACTTGAAGCTTCTGCCTTAACGAGGAAGTATACTGCTCGTCGCACCATGGCTCGCCAAGGGTCCGGCACGATACCGCGAGAGGCCAGCAACTCGTACTCGGTTTCACCGAGGTCGGAGGGCCTTTTGGGTGAACTTCCCAGGGTTAGCGCGATATTGTCTTCCACCACAGAGGGGTCCGCGGGACACTCTTCTCCTGGTAGAGGAGGGACCCTCAGCTCCGGGAAGTGCACTATCGTCTTTGGCGCGTCCTGCCACGAGAACCTCTTCGTCGCGGTCCCTCCTCCTTCATCGCGGTAATCGGAGTCGTCCGACGTCACAGAGTTGATCCGTACTGGCTTTTCCTCTTGGAAATTACACTTGGCTCGCTTCGCTTCTCCGGACGAGGCTAGTGTCTTTTGGAACCATTCCAACCAGTACTCAGGAGTTGATAGCCGACCGGGCGAAGAATCTGGGGTCCTCACTAGTTGTTCTTCGGGAATGCCTAGTAAGTCACTCAACTCGGCAAGAGACAATTCCTTCGATTGTTCCGCATTCTCAACTAACCGGCGCTTCAGTTCGACTTCATCGAGAGGAAACAGTCGTTCTTCAAGCTCTTTGTCATATTCTTCTTTCTCTTCAGCCAGCTCGGATGGCTTACCTTCTTCCAACGTATCTAGTTCTTCTTTGGTGAACACCCTCGCGAAGGAAGGCTCCTTCTCCAGTTCATCCTTTGGAGACTTAGCACTGGCGACGTCCTCAGAGTCCCTTTCGGAGGCGTCGTCTCTCTCAGGAGGGGTCACGTCTTTCTCCTGCTCGCGTGGTTCCGTTTTTGATACTGGCACTCTATCTTCGGTAGCCCCGTATTCTTCTCGGGTTGGGCTTTCGAGTACCCCCTTCACGTCTGGGAGTAACTCCTCCTGTATAGGGCCGTCATAGGATTCACCCTTCTCCTCGTCTTGATCGAGCACGCTCGAAACCACACTCCTGTGTTTCGTTGACGCCGACGGGTAGTCTCGTTCCGTCGAGGACGCCTGAAGTTGGGGCTCTTTCGTCTCTCCTTCCTTGTTTAGTTTTTCGCTCGTTGTTTCGATTTCGCTCTCGTGGTCATCTCTCGTAACCATTCTTAGGTTCGTATTGGAGCGTGCGTCGACGTGCGCAGCTATAGCGGAACCGTCCCATATGGGTCCCGAGCCTACCTCTTTTACAGACGCTTCTCCCTCCGTCTTCCAACAGTCGTTGGGGTTTGAGACTATTGATACCCCGTTCCACACGGGCGCCGTACGTCCTTCATGCTCAAACGGCAGTATTTCTTCAGTTCTCGTCATATGTTCATTGCTTACGTTCGTTTCATTTCTTTCCGGTAAGGCGGAACTCATCCCACCTCCAACAGGACACACTTCATACCTCTTGGTCGACTCCTCCGCGGAGTTCAAAGTGTTCCCATTTGTGTCGATCCATAGACAAGAGGAAGGAGCGACGCTCCCTTCCCCTCCCTCGCGCCCCCATCATTGCTGGTTGGGCGCTTGTCCTAGGACAGGTCCCACAGTCGCCCCTGTCGGACCGCCAAGTCTCTTCAGTGACGTCTTTAGAGGGCACTCCGCCAACATATGACCCGATTCATCACACAGGAAGCACTTGCGTCCGTTCCTCGGCTGGGTGTTCCGAAATCCGCTAGGAGGGTCACGCTCACATTCAGGACCGATGTGACCCACTTCCTTACAGTGAGGATAGGTGGCTTTGCCGCGGCGACAGTGAATTCGACTACACCCCAGAGTGTGACACCGACCGCACACGAGAAGACCATCTTGGGTTCGCAAGTCCGGACCCACACGAACGCCCCTGATAGGCGTAATAGGAAGCGTTCCGGTAGGTTGATAGTGCAGAGAGGGGTTCGGATCGGGAGGAGAGTAGGCAGCAGCTACATTCATCGCTGGGGAAGCATAGGCGGTCGTCAGAGGACGCTCCATCAACTGCTGTTGCTGTTGAAGTTGTTGCTGTTGTTGCTGAGCGAGTAGATTCTGCGTCTGCTGCATCATGTTCATCATGCGTTCGAGGACAGCGTTCTCTTGGGAAGCTTTAGGGGACGGCACATTGTCGAACTCGGACTCGTCTTCAACCGGACGGTGCATATTCTTAAGGAGCAGCATGGCCACAGCCGCAGGGATGGAGTCAATCATTGTCGTGGTGAGAGCGTTCCTCCAATCTCGGTTCCGAAGTCCAGACAAGAAGTACTGGTAACGCATCTGAGTGTCGTAGCACTGAGCATCATCGCAGAGACTTGAAATCATGTCGCCCCACACTTCGGCGGACATTCCCCTGGGTCGTTTAGTGTTCTTCAGGTTCTCAATCAGTTGCAAAGGGGTCTGACTGATGAACTGGTTGTGGAACCGAGTTCTCAGAGCCTCAAAGCTGTTGATGCGCGAGTACATCCACGAATCTTTGCCGACCTTGCCTTTCAAGCACTCCCTGAAAGCGCTAAGACGCAGGGGCTCGTCCAGCCCGATAGTGGCGTTCTCGAAGGCCTCCCAGAAGGATCTAGCTTTCTCCACCGACGCTCCTTCCGAGTAAAAGGGTTGGAGCATGCGAATAGCGTTTCGGATGTTAGTGGGCATACCAGACTGGCCACTAGTAGTCGAAGGCGTATTACCATACGTAGGCGAGTAGTAGTAGGAGTTACCTCCATATTCCCCATACGCAAGACCCTGATGGGTTCCGGCAGAAGCCGTAGTTCCTCCGTTTCCTTGTGAAGCTCGGGTTGTTCTCGTAGGGTCGACTCCGTACGCGACTTCACTGGTAATCGAAGTTCGAGACCCCGGGCCTTGGGTAGGAATTTGAACGGTAGGCGACGAGGTCTGGAAAGGAACCCTCTGAGGAACGGGAACGGTTACTGCTGCAGCGTTCTCCCCGCCACCTCGCAAGTTACCCGAGGGCTGGAGACCCCAAGGAGGAGCGTTAGAGGTCCTCGGAGGAATACTTGCCGGGGAAGCACGTCCACCGTTTTCAGGGACAGTTGGTAGGGAGAAGAACGGGTTGAAGTCCTGCCCATATGACGTATTCGGGGTTCGGATTGTGAAACCTTGGTACGACGGGATTGCAGTCCTTACTCGAGTCGTAGGAGGGGGAGTCCCCACGAGACCGTTCCCACCAGTTCTCTCCATAGCGGCGGCAATTTCAGGAGGGGCCATGGATCTCAACCAGTTGAGGGAGTTAAGCCAGCCTTGCACCGTACCTCGGCCGCCTCCGCCGTTCAGGGTCAGCATCGAGTCCAACTCTTCCGAAGTGAAGGTCGCAGGGACCCCGGAGCCCAAAGCGTCCGCGGGTGGCTCGACACCAGCACTAGAGCTGTTCCCCCCAAGTCGGTTAGCCGCTTGGTCTATGATATTCTGCACGTTTTGGAGGCCTTGCGTAGTCGACAGACTGGGTCGCATTCTCGAAGGCAGACTCTCGGTAGGGCCTTCTTCTTCCCGGACAGTGGCGCTCTCATCTTCTCTGTTGCTAGTAGCCGACATCTTGTCCTTCCTTCTGACGTTCTCCGCGAGACTTCACTTGGAGCAAGACCTTCTCCAGCTAGCAGACTACCCTGCTTCTCCACCAGATGTCGTATACCGCCTCTTCCTTCAAGGGTCGGGTAGTCCGCGGCTGTTCAGGGAGTACGGTCTTGTTCAGTGGCTGCAGGAACGGTAGATAGGAACACTAGAGAGTTGAAAATAAAAGTTTGTTGATTGGCTTGGCTTCCTCTTGAGTAGAAGGAGGGAAATATAAGACTGAGAGCTAACCGGAAGAGAGGCCTAACGCCTTCTCGACCTTACATACACTACACTACATATTAGAAAAAGGAAGGATTCACCTCGTTTGTTGTCGGCCTTCGTGGGACAACGGAGAGCTTCTCGGAAGGGGCTTGATGTCGCGAGGTGCTTTTGGTCCCACGACGCCAAGACTCCGGCGTTCTGGGGCCCCTTATAGGGCCACCCTAACGGGCTCGGTCCGGGGCACGTGCGTGGTTGAGTTCAACGGGAACCACCCTGACGGGACGGCGGAGTGAGGAGTGATTCCAGGGTCTCGAGTCATCCCGACGGGAGGCAGAGCTCCTGGAATGACCCCTCCGTTCCCGGGTACGGGACAGTGGACGGATTTCGCAAACATCACGAGCTGATTACTACTTGCTGAAAATAAGCGTAGATTGCACTTCATATACCCCTTGGTATCGGATCAATGGGATTGGAGGTGCAGCTCACAAATCACCAGATCCCTTTGATTTGCCTATGCAAATTTATCAGACGACGGTTTATTGAAACGGATTTCTTGTAAACATCAAGAGTTGATTACTTAGATTTGAGATTGTAGTCATCCTGGACAAAGAAGGCCAATACAGTATTCAAGACGAAAAAAACTCGAATTGGCGCAGCGCTACAGCTCTAAAAATCAATTTGTCGGCTTCCTCTCAAGCAGCAATTACATGTTCGATGTTGCCACCTTCTCTACTTCAACGTGATCCAATTCTACTTGGTTTACTGGTGATATCTGCAGCTACCACTCTTTACACGATCATCGGTGGGAAATCCAACAGCAGAAAAACAAGACCAACCAGGTAGCATGTGTACGATATCTCCCTTCGACTCCATTACTGGGGAATACATTGGAAATCGCAACCAACACGGCTCGCCTCCAGGACTGGATCTCAGACCGCTCTCGAGAACGTGACGGCCAGCCCTTTGCCATTCGATTGTTGGGCAAGAACGACATCATCTACATGTCTAAACCCGAACACTTTAAGCAGGTACTCAGGCAACAATCAAGCAACTTCAACAAGGGGCCAACCATACACGAAGTGTACTCTGACTTTATGGGGGAAGGCGTCTTGCTCACCAACGGGGACCGCTGGAAGTATCATCGAAGAGTGCTCACGAATCTCTTCAGTGCTCGAGCTTTACGAGAGCACATGGCTCCGGTTATCCAAAGGAATGTCCAAGTACTGACGGAGGCGCTGTACCGTGTTTCCGATGCCAACGAACTTGTCGACTTCTACAAGCTGATGCACAAGTTTACGTTCGAGACATTCACAGAGATCGGCTTTGGACGAAAGCTAGGGAGCCTGGCATCTCCAGACACCCACCCTTTTGAAGTCGCATTTGATGAAGCACACCGTATTAGTGGCCACCGTTTCACAGCTCCTGTGTGGCTTTGGAAACTCAAACGAGTTTTAAATGTTGGCACCGAGCGTCGTCTCCGAGACGCCATGGCAGTCATCGATAAGTTTTTGATGGGAACGATCGTCGGAGCGATGGAGCGGCATCAACACGGTGATCGGTCGGCTAAACGAGATATCGTGTCCATTATACTCGACACGATGGAGACAAGTGGACAGAGAATCACACCGGGTGACATTCGGGACATTGTGTTTGCAGGCATGATCGCTGGTCGAGACACAACTGCCGATGCCTTGAGCTGGTTGATGCATACTCTCCACAATAACCCACGTGTGGCTAGGAAGCTGCGCAAGGAAATTCTCGCAGCCTTGCCACAGTTTGCAGAGTCTGAAAGCTATGTGCCATCGATTTTTCACTTCACTTCAGTTAAGCTAATGGTGTGCTGTCTTTAATTTTTATAGAATCGTTCTTTAATCTTATCCACACAAAAAAGTGTAAAGCCAAGTATAGACATTTTTCTCTGCATTTGCAAGGTATGGAGTGTGTACGCCTGAGTTTTGCTTCTATCTATCTAACATATACGCTTGTTATGTAGCTACCGGAGCGACACGTTTCAAATGTACAAGCTCGAATTCAATCAAGGATCGGGACGGGAGCCGGATCAAACAAGCCAAGAAGCGAGGCAGTAAACCCACGCTGTGGGATAAATCGCTTGGTTACTACACGAAGACATGCAATTGCACGCATTCTAGATCCTACGCATTCCGAGGATTAGGAGCCCAGCAAAACCACACCACTCACCGCATTGATTGCCCAGCTAAACTTCATGCGTTGTTGTCTGAATATGGGAGTGGTGGTTACCGTGTATCTGTTCAGAGGCACGAGTCGACCCATAATCACGAGATTGACGAGAACATCTTCAACACTTACGCCGAGACGAGGAAAATTACTTTTCCGGGGACCTGTAATGTTGTGCGGACAATGTGGCAAGGTACGCTAGTTACTGCGACGATTTTAGTATTTACAGACATATCCTAGCGTTTTATATTTTTCCGGGTGAAGCTAAACGAAAGAAGATCCTCTGCTATTTAAAGGAGGTTTCGGGCAAGCCGCTTATGCTCAAGGATGTGAGCAGTATGATCGCCGGAATGCGCCGGAATTCTTATACGTCGCCTGAAGATAATGTGCGCGTGACGGAAGTACTGCAAGATTTCAGTGAGGAGCCTGGGATCGTTGTCAACGTGTTCCGTGATGCCGATACCAAGTTGACAAGCTGCATCACATTTCAAACGGCCCACATGAGACGAATGGCGCGACAATTTCCTGATGTGATGTGTGTTGATGCAACCCACGGCACTAACATCAGCAGGTGAGCGTTGATGATGTTTAATATCAGTTGGTACTAGCTGGTATTAGATGGGCCTAGTTGGTTCTGGTTGGTACTAGCTGGTTCTGGTTGGTACTAGTTGGTGCTTGCTGTTATTTAGCCTTGAAAACAACTTGAGATTGACATGTTTGGCCTGTGTGAATAGATACCGCCTTTTCAGCTTTATGCTGACGGATAAATTTGGTAGTGGTGCTTTTGCTCAGTATGCACTCATCGATGGGGAGCCACAAGAAAACATGAAGAGCTCCATCACCGCATTAAAGCGTAACAACGGAAAGTGAAGTGATGTCAAGGTGATCGTCATTGACAAGGATTTTACGGAACTATCCACGCTCGAGTTAGAATTTCCTGAAGCGACCGTGATCCTTTGTCATCTTCATGTTATCGACTACCTCAAACGTGAAGTTGGCAAGCGAGACTATGGATATACAGGATTTGAGAAGCTGCACATCAGAAACAGATGATGGTTCGCACGTCACATGAGAGTGAATTCAACCACTACTTGGGGGCGCTACAGGAGATTTGTGCTGGCAAGGTTGGCTTTGTGGTGTACTTCAAAATAAATTGACTATCTTGCAAGGAGCGGTGGTATACGTTTCGTCGAAGCCATATACCTCATTTGGACAAAAATTCCAACAACAGGCTCGAAGCGATCTGGGGTGCCACCAAAGACGTATTGACAAAGCACATGCCTATGGACGAGTGCATTGAAATGCTGCTATTTCTGCAGCAATCCGCCGAAGGAAAATTACAAATTCAAAAAGAAACGGGTTGGAATTTGTGTCAATAGCGAGTACGACGACGAGATAAAGCTGCTTGCTCGCATTGTCACGCGTCACGCATATGACTTAGTAGAGGACCAATACAAAGTCAGCACGACGGTGGGGTATACGGTAGAAACACGTGCTCTGCCTGGATACGACACGTTGGTAAACCCGGAATCCAACAAGAGCTACGCAGCGAGTCGTGAAAACAATACGTGCAGTTGTGTCTTCAACCAAATAAAACTTCTGTCGTGCCGTCATACCATTTATCTGCGACGCAAACAGTCTCGATCTCCTGTCATACCAGCTGGTACCGTTCCCCCTCGCTGGGCTCTACTGAATGATCAAGATTGTGATCAAAGCGACAACTTCTCATCCAGCTTATCGGTTATGGATACGGGACTATCTCAGCGACCACGAGTAAAGTCGCACAATGCAAAGTACAATGCAGCTTTCCAGGTCTGCCAAAACATCCCAAAAGTTATTACCGACAAGGGGACGGCTGACTTCAACTGCTGGATTGACCACTTAAAAGTCCTTGAACCCAGGGCTAGGGAAAATCATACTTTGAGCAGAAGCCATAATTCTAGATCAGTGGAGATGCTGGGTCAACGTAACGATTCCAGTCTAGAGGACGCCCCAGGCTAGAGAAACGCTGACAGCAAGTACTCAGAACCTCACCAACAGCGCTAAGCGTAAGCTTGATTTGGGTGAAAGCAACACCAATGTCAGTACGATGACATGCTCCGAGGAGAAACCAAGAGGATCACCAGCTATATCCGAAACGGCTGCTCAGGAGGCAACTATACCGGGGAAGCTACGATGGAGAAAACAAGGGATGTCCCTGGAACCAACACTGTGCCAAAAATTGAGCTGAACAAAGCTAGCCGTCCGTCGGGAAGGCCACGTCTCCAGCCAGTGAAGAAAATAAAAGCTAGGAAACGAGCCGAATTTGAAGCCAGTAAAGAGTTCGCCGAGAGACTTACAAAGCATGGAGATGTGATTTTGGCAGATTTTGCTGCCGTTCAGCAAAACGCAGAATTGTCTCGTGTGGATGTGGAGATCAAATGCGATGGATTGCACCTCTTTCATCACGATGCAGTGCTTAAACGTCCGAAGGCACGAATCATAGATGCAGTAATAGCAGACACCCTTGAGTCCAATGTCCGAGGTATTCTACCAGGTATGTTCTACGTGAGTTGGTGTGTAGTTGGTGAGAGTTGGTATTTGTGGTATTGGTTTAGTGTTGGTTTAATATACCAACTATTCGAGCCAAACAAACGCACGTCTACCGACTTTAACCAATTCTTAAACTGCTGAGCATTGCTTCGTATAGAAATGGAGAGAATCTAGCTTTATCCATGTCGTTGATGCTACAGAATCGCTGGTGAGGAAATGCTTGACAGCAATCAGAACCAGATGATTCGAGCAGCAGCTGGCGAGACCGCAGTCACCAACGCGGGCATTGCTGTAGCAATCTTGAACGTGGGTACATTTTGCGCCACAGATATCCAGATTTTGAGCGATTGGCACCAAGTATCAAAACTTGTTGCCAGGGCAAGTTCCTTGATTTCATAGCTCAAGAGTGCTGAACTGGATAACGCAGAAGAAGAAGAACGTGCTCAGCTTCTGAAGAGATCGCGGCTAAGGACATGAGAAGCTCTATCAATTCAGGCGGGCAAAGTGTCGAATTCGCAGAAATCGCTCGATTCGGTGACCAAGGTTGGTTGAGCGACGAATGTATAGTTGCTGCAGCAAATCGAATCGCTGCAGAGGCGTCATGGAGTCCACCACCAAAGGTATACGCTGCAAACCCCACGTCTGCTTACGTTTGAGGATGAAGATCAAAGAAACAGGCTCGTTGACACAAATGACTTTATTATCAGCAAATGTGACGAGAGCACGGTGATTCTGTGCCCACTCCACATAAATGTCGACGTTGCCTACTGGTGTGGCGCTGTGTTTGACATGAAGCGGCGGTTAATGTGGATATACGACCCACTTCACAAAGAAGACTACGAAGCCGAAGTGACTACGCTGGTCGAGAACGTGTACCTCCCCCCCCCCCGGTAGATCCTGATTATAAATTGGAAATCCGACTATATCGGGCGTGGCGCCAACGCGATGGTTTCAGCTGTGGCGTGTATGCTGCGCATTGGCTTGATCATTCCTTATCCAGCCACGTTCTGTTGTCTGAAGATGCGGTGGTACCCAAGACCAAGACTCTTTCCGAAACAGAGCTGGAGAAAGTTCGCTACAAGCTGTGCTGCTATGTGATTTTTGGTATGGCCAAGAGGGGCGATAAAATAGTTTAATACATGTTGTTCATGCATTCATCCGATAGTTTGTTAACATCTCACGCGTTCACGACAGGAGCCTATGCTTGTCTGGTGAGAAACAGCCTGAAGTAGGGCAAGTTGGTGATTGTTGGTGAAGTGTTGGTGAATAGTTGGTGAAAAATAATATTTATACAAAAAGTGCAGTACCAGTGTGATACCGGTATTGAAAAACCAAATCTTTTGATGGCTTCGTCCGGTCTATGTCAAAATAGCTGGTCCACGTAGCCACTGCCAAAATAAAATGGGGTGGTGAGGGAATAGGCAAATTACCACCACAAGCTGACATATTAATACAAGGAAGTGCCTAGATCCACCAACTATTTTTGTAAAAAAAAAAGTACAATCTGAAATACCGACTTTACCCTAACCACACAGTTGATTTTTTTCGATTTTTAAAGTTTTGACATTTCAAACCGTTCCTGTCCGCTCATTTCTTATCCCCCGTTCGCTTATATGAAGGACGCGAAGAAGGTCAAGCGCGCGCCAACGCCAGGAGGCGAGCGCAGCAGCGAGGGAGACACGGCGCATGACAAGAAGCTTGCTGAGGGAAGGGACGAGATAACATCGGGGGGCAGCGGCGTAGAGTCACCAGGGGCCAGCACGCATCGGCCAGCAAAAAAGACGAAGAGGAGCGTTGATGCCATCCCGCCAGTTGACGGAAACTCCCGCGATCCAGACGACGCTGATCAAGCCGAAGTTCGTGTGATGTGTGAGCCCTTCGCTGGGGTATTCGACTCGTGGGATGATATGGAGGCGGCATTCAGCGGGTATGTAGAATTATTTGCAATTAATTTTATTTATTAATTTTGTTTTAATTAATAATTTTGTTTTGTTCCTAGCTACCAGCGCGATACATTCCAAGTCTACAAACTGCGGACGAGCAACTCAATTAGAGATCGCAATCGAACTCGTGCTCGGCAAGCGGAGGCTCGTGGAACGCAGCCAAAGTTATGGGATGAAGCACTTCTGTACTACACGAAGGGATGGACATGCACTCACGGAGGTCAATTCAAGCCTAAAGGGCAGGGGAAGCGTACGAACCACACAACACGTCGAATTCAGTGTCCTGCGAAGCTGAATGCATTGTTATTCGTCGACGAGGATGGTTCTTTTCGCGTGCGCGTGAAGCTGCACGATTCCACACAACCACGCCATCGGCAAGAACGTGTTCAACACATACGCATAGACGCGGAAGATCACGTCACCTGCTACTCGAAGTGTTGTTCGGACAATGTGGCAAGGTACGCCGCAAGCAACCAGGAAATTTTATTATTATTTACGTATCACTAAGTTTGTTTTTATGAAGGTGGAGCCAAGAGAAAAAAAAATCCTCCGATACCTGAAAGATGTATCTGGAAAGCCGATTCAAACGCAAGATGTAAACAACATGATCGCGGAGATGAGACGTGAGTCCTACACCTCGCCTGACGCCAACATTCGCGTTACGGAGCTACTACAGGACTTCAGCGAGGGCCCCGGTAACGTGGTGAGGGTGTACCGAGACACGGACTCTCAGTTAACGAGCTGTATTGCCTTCCAGACGAGTCATATGAGACGCATGGCGCGTCTGTTCCCTGAGGTGGTCTGCATTGATGCTACTCATGACTCGAACATCAACAGGTGAGCAGAATGACGTAATTGGTTTGGTTGGTGACTTTGTTGGTATAGTTGGTATAGTTGGGAAATAATTGTATACCCAATTGCGCTACCAATTACTATACCAACTACTATACCAATTACTTACCAATCATGTTTATTTAGCTTATATTATCATATCTTTCTAACCATTCTCAACTATTCCTTTCTAGGTATCGGCTTTTTAGCTTCATGGTGACGGACAAATTCGGGTGTGGAGCGTTTGCGCAGCATTCACTGATTGATGGTGAAACTGAACAGAACATGAAAAACGCAATTTCGGCGTTCAAGATCAACAACGAATGCTGGAAGGAAATCCAAGTCATAGTTATTGACAAGGATTTTACCGAGCTATCCACACTCGAGGCTGAATTTCCTGAGGCTTCTATTATCCTGTGTCACTTTCATGTGATTAATTATCTCAAGCGAGAAATCAGTAAACGTGAGTACGGTTTTACGGACTTCGAGAAGCTTCACCTCAAGAACTTTATTACGATTATGGTTCGAGCTACAACTGAGGAGCTATTTGATCACTACCGGAAT